GTTATTTAAACTCAACAAGAGCCGCTTTCTCCAGCATAAGAAAGATATCCCCAGATAACTAATTTCTTCTCATGCCCCTAATTAGCACTCATCACTTCACAGTGTCGTTAGTACCTTTGCCCCAAAAACTTGATGCACATGCTGACAAATAATAGAGTTAGGCTTAACGCGTAGTGAATTCAAACAGTTTTCATCATGATTATAAAACAATACAAGTCATCAAGTTCAACCACTAATATATGTAGTTTAAGCTCCCCGCTAATTTCCTAGACCGGCTCTTTTGCTAGAAATGTCAGCCACTAACGAACTGCATGGTCATCGAGTTCAGTCACCCACAGTCTAAAGATCAAGTCCTCCACGACGGATCATATGACTACAGGGCCGGTCCTGAGATTTTGGATGCCCATGGCGGAAAGTCAAAAAAATGCCCCTTATATGTGTAAATAAAAATCAAAATAAACTATTTGAATAGATTTGGAACCTAGTTAATCTAGGCGGCTCATCCCAAGCCGATTTATTTTAAATATAACAAAAATGATGCAACAGGGGGACATAAACCAAAACCCCGTGTAACAAAATATAAAATATATCACCATTTGTGGTTCGTGTTGTAAAATTGCCAAGAAAGTTTAACGATTAAGCAACCTGGACAAATTGATAAAGGAGAAGAAAACATAAGCATCAATCTTAAGCCTTTGTCCTATGCTAACCCGCTTCAAAACAACTCCTAAAAAAGCTTCTAAACACCCCTAAAAAGTGCAAAATTTAAGGCTTGAGCAAATGGAAAGGAATGGAAATTCTATTCATTTTTGAAGTCTTTAAAGGATACAAATAGTGAACAGGAAATCAGGAATTTGGGCCACCAACCTAGCAAGAAATGGTTGTTTTTTTTTATGGAAGGAAGAAGAGGTTTATGGTCTATTAGTCTTATACTCTTATAGACATCTTTACTTCTTCAGGCCAACCACCCATTCACCCAACAATTAACAAATGGCAGCAGAAGCTTTGACTGTTTGACACGCATCAATGTCTGCAAACTGAAGTGAGTAACMAGACTCATTTCATGGATTTTACATAGAAATTGCAAAACGAAACAGCCCCAGAAACAGTCCCAAGTCCCATTGTAATGTTTTAAAGAAAACCTAAGTAGGCATTAGACAATTAGGAATACATGATACATACAATATTACATCTTCAAACTTTTAAAGCTTAAAAGAAAACCTAAGTATGGAGTAATGGAGGTAGCTTCATCTAGATTATAAATTAATAAAACAAGAATTATAAACATAAAATAAGTAAAGTAAATAACCCTAACCYAAGTCATCAATAAGTAAAGTAAATAACCCTAACCCTAACCAACAAAGCAAGTCACCACTCACCAATTTCAAACTAGTTTCATAACTTCATTATTAGGTTTCCAATCAAAGAAAATTAAAAACTTAAAAAATAAAATAAGTAATATAATAACCCTAAGTAACTAAGTTAAAGACTTAAAGGTTAAAAGTTAAATGAATCCCTAACCTCAACACAAGTCAGTGGTCACATTTACAATAAGAGAGGGGCAGAGGGCGACGGGCGACAGGGCGAGTGGCGAAGGGCGGAGCTGCGGAGGCCGGAGAGCGAGAGTGGGAGCCAAAGAACGAGAGTGGGAACCGGAGAGCGAGAGTGGGATCCGGAGAGCGAGAGTGGGAGCCGGAGGCAGTCAGGCAGAGAGCGATAGCGACTGGCGAAGAGAGAGGCAGCCGCAGACGGCAGACGACCGTCCATACTCGAGAGAGGCAGAGCGAGAGCGAGAGCGAGAGCGATTTCGATTTCTATTGAGAGTGAACGACAGTCAGCGAAGCGAGAGTCGAGATCGGACGATGATGGTTGATGGACATGGACCGGTAAGTGGTAACGGACTAAGGTCTAAGGCTAACAGTAATATTTTTAGGCCCAAATAAAAACTGAACCTATATACATATACATTGGCCTTTAGGATTTTTGATGCCCTTAGGCTTTAGGCTGCCCTGGGCCGTCGCCCCTTGGGCCTATGGCCAGGGCCGGCCCTATACGACTATCAAGTTCAACCACCCACGTTCTATAGTTTGAGTTTCGCGTTATATTCACAGTTTTTGGCAAGAATACATGGATACTGTCCCATTCACAACCATCAATTGACTTTTATGTCTATGGATCCATTGCATTACAGTCTAAAACTACAAGACACTAATTGAATGATTAACGAACCCCAACTCTTCGAAGAAACTTCAATCCTCATTGCTTCCATCTTTAAGAGCTTTAAAATACGAATCCATAGCAACAAGAATTTCCCAAAATGTTTGCAAGATGATGACCAAATGAAGAAGATCTATATTTTTTTTTCATTGCAGGTCATCCATGACAGTGACAGGCGATTGTGCCCAGTGACACTATCATGGGGACCTATCGCCCAAAATGTACCGAGGCTCCACTCCCCTTGGCGATCCTGCCTTGCTATTGTGCCATATGACACTACCGTCGGATACTATCCTATAATATGTATAGAGAGTTTTTCCTACTTTTCACTCATTTGAGCCTTTGCTTGCCTAAAAGAGGATACCCAATATAATCCAATTTTAAAATACTTAATTTAACTAATCTATGGGTAAAATACATATAAGACTTGGGATTTTAATTTACCAAAAATCTGGTTGTTACATTGTGCCATTGTCACTATTGCATGGCACAATCGTCAGAACCACCAAACATATGGTCTCACCATGCTACTGTGACAGATGTCACAATCGCATGGCATAGTAGTCGAGATGACCATACTCTTTATACCGTCGGTGCTATTGAGACAGATGTCACTATCTTATGGCACTATAACCAAACTCCATAATTGTTTTTTCTTTACTGGATCACTCGGTTCAACATTTTCTTCAACTGGGATAAAAAGCAGGTGTTACATAGCTTTCTTTCAAGAGTATAAAATGAGACGAGGAGGTGTGAAATCATCAAGTGTTTATTTCATATAGAAAGCCACCTATTTTTAGTACATTAAGACAAGTCATTCAAACAAGCCACCATCAAACAAACTATGGAACTACTGGAACATAAAACCGAATAACATAAAAAAATCCATAATGCCCTTGATCAATAATAAGATTTAGGGTTCATAATCAGATCAAACATACATACACTTACTTTTCTTCATTTTGATCCATAAACTTGCACTTTTCTTCATATTGTTCGGTGACATTGATTGATATCAAAAGTTAAGCCCAAGGTAAGCTCTTTGATTGGGGCCCCGAGATAGATGTGTAGGTTCTTCCCCATTTCCCCAACAAAAACAGTCTTAACAGCAAAAGAGATGGGGTGGATCCAATTACCCTCGATTTCGAAGTTGATGGACATGGGTTTTCCACCCTAGGTGTATATCATGCATGTATTTTGGCATTAGCAATAAGGATTGATCAATGCTAGTTCAAAGTTGTAGGATGTTCTAGTTTGGATTCTATTTTCCCAAGCCATGATAAGAAAACCACATGCATCTTCACCTATGGAGATGGTTATCATTAGGGAGGAGGTAATGTTTCCTGAGGGAAAAATAATATAGAATAATACATCGATAATAATACGTTAAAGAGTAGATTACAGTTGGTTGATCATGGGTTATGGTGCATCTCATTGTTGGTGAGTGACAGCAGTCGTTCTTGAAGTTGGTGGTGGCTGTCAGATGCTTTTGAAGGAGACGGAGAAAGGAGACAAAGGTGATCGGTGACGGTTAGCGACTCTTTTCGAAGATAGAAAAAATAAAAAACGACGGAAATGTCCTTGACATTAACACAAGTTAGAGAGGCATAACGTTTAGGAACAATCTATGCAAGCAAATTGAAAAGGACGTGGCATCAATTTACAACAATAATAGTTACTAATAGAGTTAAAAGTAAAGAAAGTACAAGGACGGTTTATGTAATTTACTCTTTTCCTAAAAAACATGAACGAAAATCAATGGCATCGATACTTGTGATATTACCCATCAAATGTCTATGAGGTAAATTCTGTTTCAATATTTTCCATTTAGATTTGTTTTTTTTTTTTTTTAACATTTTACAAAATTAAGATATTTTAATTTTAATGAGCTGATTTTCAAAATCTTTGAGTAATCAATATCCAATAAATACGCTTTTTATTTATTTTCCAATATTTATGACGATAGAGAATAATAAATTTAAGTTAGAAAGGCATTTTTAGAATAATGTAATAAATAAGAACCAAATATTATCTTTAATTAAAAAAATATCCATTTATTTATATAAAATAATAGAAAAACAAATAGGAAAAATTAAAATAGAGTTTTATTTTCTTGGAATTTTCAAACTACTTTTTAGCTGATTCTTATGCAGAGAACTTAGGGGTTATTTGTTTACCTCTTAATAGTTTCATTAGAAGGTAACCTCTGGATCATTAAGAGGTGAATCTTGTTTGACAAAAAAAAAGTCTGCCCCTTAATGGTTCTAAAACCCTCTGAATGATTTTGTATCCTAGATCTCCCTTAACCATTAAAATCTTTAATTTCATTATACACAATTACCAAAGGATTATATTTTATTTTGTATTATATCATGAGACCCTCTTAATCATTTTGACCACTTAATTATTCTGCACCAAACCATTCAATAATTGCCAAACAACCCCTTATACATATGTATATGTAAAAATTGAGTTTGAAAAAAAAGAAAATAAAAAAGTGTATTAGTTTTAGAGAGAAAATGATGATTTATTATTATAGTAATAAATAAATAATTAATTATAAGACACAATTTTATATTTATTTGAAATAATATTTGTTTAAAAACGAGGAAAGTGGCATAAAAGAAGTGGAAGTTTGTACGGTACAAGCTGAAGATGCACGTCACATTGAAATCCTCCTAGCTATTGTCATCAAGAGAAAGCAACCATAAGCCAGTTGGAAACCCAATACATCTCTCTCTCTCTCTCTAAAACTACCTTTCTCTCTCTACACACCCCACCAGGATTATAATCAAAAACCAGAATCAATCCAATTTTGCTTTCACGAAACCCTCTCTCATTTCCAAAAATTCCTTCAATGTCCACTCTCCATCAATACCCAACTGTTTTCTCTTAGTTTTGTATAACTCTCAACCTCATCAGATCGCCGGCAACCATGTCCTCAGGCTTCCCCGGCGGTCATCCAGACTACTTCAACATCAACACCACCACCGGCGCCGGAAGATCCATGTCTATGATGAATTTGAACAACAACCCACAAGGCTCTTACCGCTCTCCGCTTGCCGGAATTCTTGCTGACCCATCTTCTCAGATCGGACTCCGGCGACCTGACTTGATGGGGAAAAGATCTCTGGCGGAATTCCAACACCATCAACAACTCCAACAACAAGCTGCGTTTTTCTTGAGAAACGTGAAGCCAAGGCCTTACAATCAGCATGTATCGCCTCTCTCTCTTATGGATTTTTCGAATTCGCCGGAAGTTTCTTCGGTTTCTAATATCTCCTCTTCATCGTTGTCGTCTGTTCCGCGGTACGGTGTTCCGGTTCTGCAACAAGTTCGTCCGCCAACTGCACAAGCCTTCAATCTTGGTAATGGAAACTTTAACGGCGTAATGGGTAGTTATCAACATAACAATCGTAGCAATTTTTCGCGTATTTCTTTACCTAATTTAGCTGCGAAACAATCGCCGGCGACTCAAGAAACGGAGGGAAAGATGATGAAACGTCTGCAAGAGCTTGAGAAACAGCTTCTGTTGGATGATGAGGATGGAGAAAACGATGTTTCCGGCGTTACTAACAGCGAGTGGTCGGAAACGATTCAAAACATACTCGGTTCGACTCCGGTGCAGAAACCGGATAACACTGTTTCTCCTTCTCCTACTTCCTCGTCTTCTTCGTCGTGTGCATCTTCCTCTGCATCTCCGGCGACTACGGTTTGCCCAAAGCAGTTGTTATCAGACGCTGCATCCGTAATAACGGACGGCAAAACAGACTCAGCGGTGGAAATCCTCACGCGCGTAAACCAGGTATCAAACGCGCTTGGTACTCCTGAACAACGATTGAGTTTTTACATGGCGGCGGCGCTCCGATCACGAATGAACGCAAACCTGACGACGGCGTCGGAGTTGTACGGAAAAGAGCACATTTTGTCAACTCAACTTCTCTACGACAAATCCCCATGCTTCAAGCTTGCTTTCATGGCGGCCAACAACACCATTTTGGAACTGGGGCAGGCCGAGAAGAAATTACATGTGGTAGATTTTGATATAGGCCAAGGCGTTCAATATGTGTACTTGCTTCACGAGATTGCGGCGGCGCGTAAGGTTGACAAAGAGACACCCATTTCATTAACGCTTACAACTTTCACGGATTTTGGTAATGGGGGTGCTGAAAGATTGAAGCTTGTGGGTGATGGTCTCAAATCCCTTTCTAACAAGTTGGGTGTTTGTTTTTCTTTTAATATTTCAAGTTTAAAATTATCCGATCTCAATCAGTCGGCTTTAATGGTTGAATCCGGCGAGATTCTTGTTGTCAATTTGGCTTTCAAGTTGTACAAGTTGCCAGACGAGAGCGTGACGACGGAGAATCTGAGAGACGAGGTGTTACGGCGCGTGAAGGGGCTGTCACCGGCGTTGGTGACGGTGGTTGAGCAGGAGCTAAACGGGAATACGGCGTCGTTCGAGATGCGCGTGAATCAGGCGTGTGGGTATTACGGGGCGTTGTTGGAGTCGCTGGACGCGACGATGGGGAGGGACAACCCGGAGCGAGTTAAAATCGAGGAGGGACTGAGTCGGAAAATGGTGAACTCGGTTGCGTGTGAAGGGAGAGACAGGGTTGAAAGATGTGAGGTGTTTGGGAAATGGCGGGCCCGAATGAGGATGGCTGGGTTCGAGCCAACAGTCTTGAGTCAACTCAGGGCTGAATCGTTGCTTTTGAAGCTGAACTCAGGTACACGTGGCAATCCGGGTTTCACGGTGAAAGAAGAAGCCGGTGGGATCTGTTTGGGTTGGATGGGACGAACTCTCACCGTCGCATCGGCGTGGCATTAGTAGAAATTGGACTTGTAATATCCATTTTAAACTATAAATATGAAATATGATTTAGTGTGACTTGTACCATCACAATTTATAACTAATTTTTAATTTTATATCTATCATCTTCCATATCCTATTAATTTCTATTTGAAATTTGATATAATATATGTTTATGAACTAAAATTAAATTCTTGAAATTTAGCCAAGATCCACCATGACCCATAAAACGTAGTTGACAACGTTCGTTTTTTATCAAACCATCTCATAAGACTCGATGCTCCATCGCTAACTTCTTGAAAATTGAAATAAAGATGGAACCACAAATTGAGAGCCACACCCAAAGGGGAAGAACTAGGTTTGCAATGTGATTGATGCCACACCTAATTTGAAATAACCTACAACGAAATCATCAAACATAAGTATCTGAAAATAAGAATTCACTAATCTTATAATGTATAATACTACAAACCAAACATAATCAACAAAAGTCTTCACAATCCAATACCAAAACAAAACTAGAAATAAAGTCAATGGCTTAATATTGAATGTCTAAACATCGTTAGTTCGTCTCATATCGATGTAAGACAACAGTTGAAATCACAAGGTCTTGCCTCCTACTCAACTAGACCTTCTTTATTTCCTTGCTAATACCAAATTTGCCTTCTCTTGAAATACAAAACTAGGCAAACAATAAGTTAAGTGAATTCATGTTAAAACATTTCAAAATCTTCATGCGGATGATGCTAGAATCATATTGAAAATATGTGTGTATATTATGCATCGTGCTGTTGAAACCAAATTCATAGTATCGTATCATAAGTATGGGAACACCGTTGAAACATATATGCACAACATATATAATGCATTCTATATACTAAAGCTCTGTAAATGATCTACATGGTGGGGAAGACCTGGTACATTGATACTTGACACAGTACAAAGGTCATTACTACACACATATATTCTACCTTACTAAAACTAGGGATTACATCTATTCTTTTTGAAACTGAAGGAACTTCTCAATTTTTGTTCCCACACATACAACAAAAGTACTATTTATGTGCATAAGATAGTCGGTATATCAAAATATTTTTAGCAAGCGTAAACAATTTAAAAGCATGCGTAGATCTTAACCATCAAATTTATAAATAATACATTAACATTCAACAAAAACCTAAAAAATGAATTCTTAATACTTGTCTTATAATGAGAATATCCGATGAAGAACTCTCATCAGACAAAACTCAAAATTATTGACATCTGAACCTCAATAACTCATAAAGGTTGACGCTTCGGATGTTGATCCCTCATCGGATCCTTAACTTATACAAACTTGTGAAGATCAAATCTTTGATTTGATTATTCTCCATCCGATTTGGAGAATCTGATTGACCTATCATTTAAGGTCATTCCATCTTGAGTTTCAAAATTCTACGTTTTATACTAAGTTGTTTAAGAATCCGATGAATACATTTCATAAGTATTCTGTAGCTGGAATCCATTTAAGATGTATAACTTAAATTTCAAAATAAAATAGGATTTTTTACTTGTAAAAGTCTTGTAACTATCTATATTCATCCAAGAACTAACAACCTTCAACAAAATCGCAGACTAGTTTATGTGAGGTCAAAATCGTCACCGAAGCGGATTAGTTTGTCATCTATCCAAGACGAAGATCAATAGAAAATAAAGCCAACTAGTAGTCTAACAAATACTATTACTAGCAAGCCGAACTTTGGAGTTCAAACTTGTCCAACAAGTCAGGCTCACCAACTCTTCCAACACTCATCCTAGTATGGGAACATGCCATCCAAAGTAATTTATAAACACTATTTTATTAATGCGATACTTTCTTCACTGTTTGCTCGGCATACTAAAGGATGAAATAGGATAACAAGTATCTACATCAACTACAAGGCTGAAATGAAGAATACAAGCATGCATGGATCAAGAAATCAGATGAAGACACATGTTAAAGTTGGATAGCAACACCTAATGCAATGGTGGCTAAAGAAGGGCACCTTTGTCTTTCATTTCTACTCACTCGTTTTAAAAAGAACTCCTATGCAATAGTTTATTAGGCGAAATCGACATCAACGTTTGAAGAACTATATTAGTCCTTCAAATCTGTAAGAGTACCCTCTTCTCTCACTCTTTTAGTGTTAGCAACTTTGTCACCAGTCAAATTGTTAAGATCATAGGTCTTACCTTCCTATATTTCGCAACAAATATGTAATTCTTTGTTTTAATACACAATATAGAATTAAAAGTGAAAATATGATGTGTTTGTATTCAACCACCCTTCTACAAAGTATAAACACATCTTGTGTAAGTCATTACTTTCTAGGACCAACAAATGGTACTAGAACAGTTTGTTTAGTATTTCTAATGACAAAAACTTAGCAAATTATATTCCAAGTAAAAAGTTCAAAAGGAAGAATACCAGGAATTCTCAAGGTAAAGGAAAAGCAATGAAGTCCAAAGTACAGGTCAAAAATGATTTTTCAAGACTATTGGAAAAGGAACCAGAAGAAAATACAAGTGTGTGCCTTATGGCATACTTCACTGAACTAAGTGGTTCTGACAAGAAAAATACTAAAAGTACATCAGCTGTCTCCAAATCTATCTCTTAAAAAATCTCAAGTTTAAAGAAACATGTATATTTTTCTTCTCCCTTAGTTAAAATACATTATTCTTACTTATTCTTCTCTTTCTAACCTTCTCCTCAAAATATTGATCTACTTCACTTCCTTCTCAAAAGACCCATGACTAGTTATCTTTCAATACTCATAAACTATGCATCAGAAAAAGGACCATCAAGCCACTTTTGGTGACAGTTCAAAAGGATCTAATTTAGGATATGGAGTGTTGTTGGTCCCATCCGGATCTACAAGAGTTTATAGGTAACAACTTGTAGAAGGGGAGGGGGAGGAGGGATGAATAAAAACACAACTTTCACTTTAAAAATCCTTTATTGATAAAGGCGATGAATACAAAATTTTACAGATTGTTTGCGGAAAAGAAAAGATACATAACTTATCTAAACAATCAAAGAAACACACAAGTTATAGAAAGCGAGAAAGAAAAGACTTGCTGAATGAAAAGGTTAAGAAGTCTTGTGCTCTTCACTGGTTAGAGTGGTTGAGGGAGATGGGGGAGTATCTTCTTGGGTAAAATGATCTTCAAAGCAAAGAAGCTTGGCTTAGACTTAGATGCCGAGAAGGAGAAACTTCTCAACTATTTATACCTATTGCATTAAATGCAAGTCAGAAGGTACAAAGCACGTGGCAAGCTTCAAGAGGTAAGATTGTTTTTTGTTGCACATATACATAATTTAGCCATATATGAACATTGTCTTTCACAAAGTAGGTAAGCACGCTTGAAGATAGTAGAGTGACTCTGTACACTACTTTACTTTGAGAGGTACGGGTTTGTCCTTTGTGTGTAAAAGGACAAGACAAAAACTAATCTTGTTCAACAAGATTCATTTGATCGTTGACATTGGAATAACACTAAGGTTTCTTTAGTGTTCGCTGAATCTTGAGTAAGTTTCATATTTGTGTAGACAGACCTGTTATCATTGAAAACCGCATCAGATCACGAACTTGCTTGTCTCTGTCTTCATTATTATCTTTGATATCACTGAAGGTTCTATGGTGTGAGTTTTGTCTTCCTGAAGAATACTTGTCTCTAAGAGAATTACAATACATGTTCAACGGTCACTGAATAGACTCAATGATGATCATTGAAGCTCAATACATAGATAATACACTTCGTAAGATAAAAGATAAAAAGGATCATCCTCAAATGCGTCAATAACTTTCAACAAGTGGCATATGTAGGTGTCAAAAATAATCTTCTAAGTATTAATGAACTATGTGACAAAGATTTCTCTGTCAATTATGTTGAAAGAATATGTACTATTCTCTCCTCTGAAAATGTAGAAATTATTTCTGGATTTCGTAAAAACAATGTCTATGTGATTGATATCTCATCAGATTGATATTCTCTTCTCCATAATGTCTATTTCTTCTCAAAAGCTTCATATGAGCAAAACTGGTTGTGGCATAAACACCCGTCTCACCTAGATTTCAAACCATCAATAGAATGTCACAAAAGGGGCTGGTTAAAGAACTTCCCTTCTTGTATTTCACAAAAGAACGTTGTGTAGGTCTTTTAAAAAGAGAAACATTCTAAATCTAGCTTCAAATCCAAAAGTTGTTCTTCCATCACCTCTCCGATCCATCTCCTTCACATGGATCTATGTGGATTAGTGAACATCTAGAGTTGGGTGGAGAAAGATATACTCTTATGATTGTAGATGAGTTTTCAAGATATACCTGAGTTTTTTTTCCAGGCAAAAAGTGACGTAACTGAAGAATTATTCACTTTATCAAAAAGATTAAGGTACTCAACAACACTTCAGTTCACTCTTTATGGAGCGATAATAGAATAGAACTTAAGATATATATTCTTGAAAAATACTGTTCAAGTAAAGGTGTTTTTCAAAATTTCTCTACAACAAGAGTTCCTCAGCAAATGGTGTAATAAAAAGAAGGAACAAACCTCTATGTGAAGCTGACAAATCTACGACTCGTGATGCCTGGCTCCCAACTTATTTTTGGGCTGAAGCTAAGAATACCGATTGCTTCACTCAAATCGAATTACAACTGTGAAAAACCATTAAAGACTCCCTATGAACTATTCCATGGTCGAAAGCCAAACATCGGATTCTTTCACACTTTCAGATGTATATGTTGTATCCTAAATGATAGAGATCATATTGAAGAATTTGAACCTTACTTCGATAAGGAGTATTTGTAGGATATTTCTTTTTCACAAAAGCTCTCAGAGTCTACAATTGAAGAAGACATACATGCTCATTTTGACGAAAATATTACACCACTTTCATCATCCACAAATACATTCAATGAAAATGAGCTCAACGAATGGATCTCTTCATATCTAATGAGATCCATTTGGAAATCCTCTCCAAACATACTCCAGGTTCAGTCTTTTAATCCTTCTTGTGCTTCTGAACCATTCAATAATCAAACTGAGATATATGAGTCTCCCATGATTATAAGTAATGTTCATCAGCCAATTGTA